TGTATTAGAGCTGAGTATTGTTCTCTGGTTAATTCATATGTTTTCATCTCCCTAACAGTTTTTTGAATGCAGAAATCCCTTTCTAAATGAAAAATAACTTTATTTTCTATTAAGTAATATATGCTCTCTGTGTTATTTTCCTCAACATTTTTAGAGATTTATTTATCTTCATAAATATTAACTTGGTTCATTCATTTTAATTGCCAATTAAAGAATACAAATTCATTAAAAGACAAAGAAATAACAGAAAGTACCATAATCATACGACTCTGCAATAAACATTTTTGCCTTCTTGTTGTATTCTCTTCTAGATTTTTCCTGTGTAATATGTTTTTTTCATATTGTGCATATCTTTTCATATCAAAAACTGTTCTTCTAGAAATAATCATTTTCTTAATCTTATTACTGGACATTTAGGGAATTTCCAGTTATTTGCCATCATCCCACAATATCCAAGCTAATGTTTTGTTCTTACTTCTTAGAATAAATTCATAGAAGAGAAATTGCTTGATCAAAGAGAAACACAGTTTAAGGTATTTTAGTGTCTGTTGCTAAACTGCCCTCCAGAATAAGGTTGTAACAATTTATATTTCCATCAGCAGGATATGAGAGTGTGTTTTCTCCCATCCTTTCCAAGAATGGGTGAGATCACTTTTTAAAATCAGAGACTATTTTTTGTATTTTTTTAGTAGTCCTTAAAGTGATTCAACAGAGATGGAGACAGAGTGGACACTAAAGATAGTTTTGATAAATTGATAAGTAGTGTTCTTTTCACTACTATGACTACTGATTTTTTTAAGTAAATAATTATTCATTCACTCAACATATTTATACTACATGGGATTGTCCTTGGTGTGCCTACTAAAAATGAATATGGCATCTAGAAATGAAATAAATACTTTGAATTACTGAAACATAAAACAGTGATGATTAGTTTCAAAGGTAACGTGTATAAAATCTACTCTTAAAAAGAAAGTGTCGTTTTGTCCCAAGAAGTCTCTTGGGAACAAACAATTTGTCTCATTTTTCTAAGAATAGGAAGTACTAAAACTTCTCCTCTGGGGAAAAAGACTATGAAATTAGGATATGAAAATCTTCCCATCCATTAGCTATTAGAGTGTTCAGAATCAGGGGAATTGTGCCAGAGAGGAAGCCAAAACCTGGTGTGGATTTTCATAGTCTCAGTACGTTTTAGAACCTGTCCTTCCTTCAACATGAAGGGGGGAAAAATCAACACTAAAATTTCTGGGGCGAGTTTTTATGTTTCTATTCATTCCTAAAAGTTTGTTTTATTTAAAGATATCTCAGGGCTAGGGCGACTAGATGAATGTCCTATTTAGTTAGGTGATTTCTCCTGCTAAATTATCAGAAAGACCATACTAAGGTAATAATTGGTCCTACTTTTTCAATGTACAGTTCTTTTCACCTTATGTAAAGTGGTAATCATTAAAAATTAGCATAGCTTTAGAAATTACTGATTTGAAACCTCAATTAAAAGGATACATCCCATAATCCTTTTATAACATTTTTCTATGATTTGCTAAAGGTATTAGAATGAGTTTGTAGCTCATAAAGCATTATGTAGTAGAAAGAGCATGTGAGTGGGGTCAGAAGATGTGGATTCTAGTCCAATGTCTTCTAATAATAGTTATTTAACTTTAGGCAAGTCACTTCTTCTGGGGCTATAGTTTTCTTTACTATAAACCAAAAATCTGGCTTAGGTCAGCATTTCCCAAAGTGTGTTCTGTGGAACACATGTTTCATGAGATGTTCCACTGAAAAAAAGCAGTTCAAGGTTGAGTACATTTGGGAAATGCTGCATATAACATGTGTCTCTTAGAAATTCACAGTGAACATATTAAAACCACTGAAAACCACTCTAGTTTAGAAACCCACTAAATTTTGGTTAGCCTAGCATTTTTCACTTATTCGATTAAAGGAAAATTTTATGTTTGGGGATCATATCTACTAGAGTTCCAAATAACACACTTTGAGGAAATGACGGACTAAGATCCTTTGCTATGCCCTGATTTATGGTACTACTCTTTCTCCTACAGGTATTCAGCCTGTCCCCTGAAATCTGCTCCTCCTTCTGGGATCTCTACTTCACAGAGATGACCACGACATTCCAGTCTGTCTCCCAAACCAAAATCCTGAGGGTCATCCAAGCTCTCTCCTTCTCATTTACTCCCTCATGTCCAATTATACATCAAATCCTATGGAGTCCACCTCCTTAATATTTCTCCCATCTAATCCCTCCTGCCCACTTCACCTGCAGCATATCTCATCCCAGTTGTTGCCACCACCTCCTGATTTACTCCTGCCCCAGTCTAGTCTCCCTGGTTTCCAAAACGCAAATTCAGTTGTTCTGGGGCTTAAAACCTCCAAAGATTTTATTATTTATTAATAATTCCTAGAGTATCAAGTTCAAACTCCTTGGTTTAGCACCAAGCACATGAGCCCCACCCACCACCCCCTTTTTAAAGAAGCCCTTCTACCTTTTCTTCCCACCTCTTTGACCCTCTTCTGTGCCTGTCCTGACAAAATGGAACTGCCCGCAGAGCCTCTAAAGCATTGTGCTGTTTGGTACCTCCATCCCTGCAAAGGTATTGTTGTCTTTGTCTGCAACGCCAGTTCCCTGTTTCCTCATCAGGTTAGGTCCTCCTTGTCACTGAAGACTCAGTTCAAGAATCCCCTCCTGTGGCACCTGGGTGGCTCAGTTGGTTAAGCGATGGACTCTTGATTTCAGCTCAGGTCATGATCTCAATCTCGGGAAATGGAGCCCCACATCAGGCTCCGTGCTCAGCAGGTAGTCAGCTTGGAATTCTCTTTCTCCCAATCCCTCTGCTCTCCTCCCCCTGCTCTTTCTCTCCCCCTCTCTCTCTCAAATAAATAAATAAAATCGTAAAATCTTAAAAAAAAAAAAAAATCCCCTCCATTGGAGGGCTTTCCTGAGCTGGGAATGAACTCTACAATCGTGACTTCCTTGCATCCTTTACCCACTAGACTATGTACATTTTGAGGGCAGGAACCACCTTGCCATGTCTTTCTTGCCTTTGTATTCCTAGGCCTTAGTTAGAACTCAATAAATCCTTGTTAAATGAATGAATGGTTTCATGGTTTAAAGGAAATGATGAGAACTTGCTTACTTTCCTCAATGGCTGAAAGTGACTTTTGTTTTGTTTTGTTTTTCTTTCTTACTAGCCTTGACCAACCTAAGCCCTGGGAGGAAAGATACTTGACTATAAACGCTATCTAAAAAGCGCTCAATAATCTATTTTTTAAAGGAAGTTCAACGAGAGGAGTATCTTCCTTGTATAGTATCACTCAGCCTGGTAATAGTATTTGATGACAATAGAGATTTATTAGGTCTGGCACTCAGGTGTGTATAATCTCAATAAACCTGGTCATGAGGGAAATGGGATGAAAGGCTAAAGACAGATATGTATGAATTATCACTTATCAGAATGTTTGCATTTGTTAATTTAAAAATATTTATTGTAGGTACCATGCTAGTATTATGGAAGATATAAGAATAAGTAAACTGTTGTATTACATTCATTAGGGAAGGTGATAACTTACTGAAATAATTATAATTAGAGGTAACAAATGATGAATTCCACAAGAAAGGAACAGAAGGCAAGGAATTGGTCAGCAGCACCATCTTCATTTATGAGATTACAGTATTCTACACAAGTATATTTAAGCACCTACAAAACTTAAATGCAAAAGCGCAGTTACGTTTCCAAAGTACAAATATCTCAAGAGTGAAATACAGCTAGTAACTGTATCGTATGGTTCTGAATACCAGTCTGAAACGGATTGTGTACCAGTTTGGAACAGATTGTGCAAAAAGACTGGAACCATTTTAAAATCCTCAAGAATATCTGAAAAAAGGGATGTAATTAACCAAACCAGGACACGAACACTCTGGTTCTTAGGGAGCCCAGGTGTCAGAAATGTACAGTCAATTCTTTATCTGTGAAAATTCAAGTTGCAGATACTCTTACTTAGCAAGCAAACGGGAAGACATGATAAAGGAATGTTCACTGCAACTAATTCCAGTTAACACTTCCGACTGGTCAGTTGTTTTACTGCTGTCAATAAACTTGCTTTGCATGGAGCCAGGCAAAAATGATTTAATTCTATTTTTTTCCTTTGATCAACTTTAGGAGGTCATAATAAAGATATAAAAACTTAAGATTAAAACTTAGAAGTCTAAGTCAAGCCTACATCAAAATAAGCTGTATCAGAAATTTAGAGCTTGAGAAAAATGCCATCAAGAAAAATGCCAAAACCTTATTCCTAAACAATTTCAGTAAGGGGGTGACAAATTAAGAACGCAAAATAAGCAAATTTCTAAGGTAAAAAGTAATTAAAGATAATGGAAATGTCCAATTTTAAAAATCTTCTCAATATAGTGCATGAAAATACGGAGAGTTGTCGGCCAAAATGGGTTTTCCTAAAAAAAAAAAGGCCTCATAGACTGCAACGACAATGGTCCTTTAAGCGCCTAAGACATCTGATGTGTTGCTGGGGTCTTTGAATACATGAATGACATATAGGTGCATGCATACAGGTCCTTGACAGATCTGCTCGATGCTGCTGGGAGTCCCATGGCCCTGGGACAGAGGCCACTGGGCCTGCGTCCAACGAAAGGCGAGCAGGGGGTGGGACAGCACCGGGATTTTCCTTCCTCGCTCATTCATTCTCTGATTCACTGGTTCCTGGAGGCGGTTTACAGGCGCGCGCGGAGGAAAGGCGGAGCACCGCGGACAGCCCCGTCTGGGTGCGGTCCGGCGCCTGAAGGAGGGTGAGGGCAGGGCGGGCAAGGGGGCGCGGGCGGGGGGCGCGGGCGGGGGGCGGACGCCCGGGAGGGGGGGGCGCGGCCGCCTGCGCCGGAGGTGGGTGGTTGGCGGGGGGGGGGGGGGGGCAGCGAGCGGCCGGGCGCGAGTCGGTCCGCAAGTCCGCCGCCGGGCCCTCAGCTCCGCCTTCTGCGTCTCGGCCGGACGCGGCCGCCCTCGGATCGGCCACCGCTGGGCGCTGCGGCCGCCCCGCCTGCTGCACGCTCCCGCCCCGCCCCCGCCGCCGCCGCCCGGTCGGTCGGTCAGTCAGTCAGTCAGTCAGTCACGGTGCGCGCGGCGCGGGAGCTGCGGGCGCTCACGGCGTCTCCGGGGAAGGAGCGCCGCGCCTGAGGCGGCGGCGGCGGCGGCGGCGGGAGCGGCGGCTGCCCAGCCCTGGGCCGCTGGAGGATCGAGCAGCTGCCGCGGTGAGTGCTCAGCCTCGCCCTCGAGGCGGGCGGAGAGGCCGGCCGGGCGCGGACTGTGAGGCGCTGCCGCGGCTCCCGCCTCCATTTTCCCGGCGCCCGGCCCTGCCATCCGGGCGCGGTGCGGGCGGGTGCCCGAGCCTGGGGCGGGGTCGCTGCCGGGCCGGGGCCGGGCTCGTTGGACCACGCCCAGCGAGGCGGCGGCGGGTAGGTGGGGGTCGGTGGGGCCAGGGCTGGCCACCCCCCCTGCGTCCCTGGGGGCAGCGACGGAGGGAGACAATGAGATACAGGACCGCCTGGGGAGGGTGCGGTTGGGCTTGGACCCGGCACCGGGTGCTGGTGGCCCGGGACCGCGAGGAGGAAAGGACTGTCCCCGATTAGCCGCAGAAAGCAGTGATTCGGTGTCTGGATTCCTCGGGCTTCGGTGCCCCCCACCTTTCATAAATAAATTCAGTGCAGAGATCTAGAAATGCGGGGCGCCTTCTGCGTCTTCTAATTAAGCAGGCTAAGTAATTGCTCCCTTGCCTTTGAACCCCTCTCATCTTGCTGTGTCTGTGTGCATTCCCGCCGGAAATCCAAACTGCAGTTCATGGGGGGGGGGGGGATGAGGAGGGGAGGGAGGCCGTGTAATAGTGTTAGGATGCCTTCATTTTAAGACAGTCTGAAAGATGTGGTTTTCTTATTCAGACAGTGTCTCGGGGTGTCCCCACAGTGTGAGCTGGGAACCGCATTAGCCTTAACTGCTTGTAAGCACGAAGACGTTGCTTAGTATGAAATAAGAGCTTGTTGGAAGGGTATAAGCGTCGCATCAAATGTCTCGTGTGTGGAGGGTTTCTTATATTCTGTGGGAAGAGCGGTTGGGGAAATCTGGGAGAATTGAAAGATTTTTCACTTCACCTCCCAGTAAGGGTTGATGTGTCTGCAGCCTTTCTCTCGGAGATGTGGAGAGCTGCCTGTGTGTCTGTAAAATCTGCTGTATGGGAACCGTAAAGGTAACGGGCTAGGGATAGGGCGTGAACGGGTTATTAAAAGGGTTATTAAAAAAGTGGGGGCGCCTGGGTGGCTCAGTTGGTTAAGTGTCTGCCTTCGGCTCAGGTCGTGATCCCAGGGTCCTGGGATCGAGCCCCGCATCGGGCTCCCTGCTCCGCGGGAAGCCTGCTTCTCCCTCTCCCACTCCCCCTGCTTGTGTTCCCTCTCTCGCTGTCTCTCTCTCTCTGTGTCAATTAAATAAAATCTTTAAAAAAAAAAAAAGGTGGTAGTGATCTCATAGGAATATTAAATCCGACGAATCTTTATGGAATACCTACTGTCTGTTAGAGTGGGGGACACAAATTGGACAAGACCTGCAGCATGGAGTGGTGGTGGAAAGAGCTCCTTTTTTGAAGCCAGGCAAACCAGAGGCTCCATAAACCCTGGAATTGGCTAGCAGTGTGACAGCTAAGCTATTAACTCTCAACAGTACTTTTCTATCAGTAAAATGGGAATAACACCACCTGTTTACCTCCCCGGGTGGTTGTCAAACAGATTAAATGAGATAATGTATGCAAAATGCCTAGCACCTCTCAGGGTTCTGAGGTGTTAGCAAATGTTTCCTTTCTTCCCTAGCCTACTGCTCTTGGGATTTTCCTGGGGGTAAGGTGAGGGAAGAAGTAACTAGTAATTGTAATGCAACACATTACATATTTAAAATGTTGGAGTAAAGTTACAAAATAGGGGAGCAAAGAGGAGAGATTAATTCTAGATTGGGAGCATGGAAGCTGAGGGATTTAAGTGGAACCTTTAAGAATGGGTAGGATTAAAAAAAAGAAGAAGAAGAAGAAGAAGGGGTAGGATTTCAATTGATGTGGATGGGGAGGACAGTCCAAGCGGAGGTGGTACTATCCTTTGAGAGCCCAGTTGAGTAAGACCAATGGAGGAAGGGCAAAATAGAGATACTCAAAAGCTTTTTAGCTCTTGTTGAGCCTGACCTTCAAAGACTATCTCTGTTATTTTGCTTTTTGTGTTGTGAATTTCCCAGAAACCAGATCTAGCCCTATTCAAGTCAGTACCAAAATGTCTACAAAGCTTTAATACATGATTTTTTGGGGATTAGACATTTTGTGTTATTTGGACTGCCGCTCTCTTCTGTTTGAATTTAATAAATAATTATTTGTAGATGTCTCCTCATGATGAATATTAGCTCTATTTGGTAGGAAAAAGCAGCTGATTTTTCAGATTCAGAGGTCTCATTAAGATTATATAGTAAGTAACTGGCTAAAAGTGGTGTAGTGAGCTTCAAACTCTGGTTTAATTTAAAACTGATATAATTTGTTTTCACTGATATTTTAACTAATATTTTATTCTCTGAAGAGGTGTTTTTAACCATGTCTTTGAGGATAATTAGAATGACTTATGGTTTTGCTATCCTTTGGTTTTCATAATTACTGTATTTTCTAGATTAGCATGGTGGGGGGCACCTGGGTGGCTCAGTTAAGTGTCGGACTCTTGATTTCTGCTCAGGTCATGATCGTAGGGTCATGAGAGCAGGCTCCACGCTGGGCATGGAGCCTGCATAAGATTCTCTCTCTCTCCCTCTCCTCTCTCTAAAAAAAAAAAAAAAAAAAAAAAAAATTAACAAGAAAATAAAGATTAGCGTGGTGGATGATTTCACACTATTCATAGATTCTATAGAATCTCATGGGTTTGCCTTGGTTCTGAAGTAGCTCAGTGTCAGCATTAGTATTGTTAATCCCAAACTCTTAGGAAAATTAATATTAGCAAAACAAGATATGTGACCTCAGGCAAATCTCTTATCTTGGATTCTCAATTCCTTTACCTGTAAAATGAGAAATTTGGATTAGATCACTGGTTTTCAGTGTTTTACTGAACTCTGGAATTTTGAGGAGGAGCTTCAAGTTTCTATAAAAGTTTCACTTAAATCTCATTGAAAATGTATTGTGACTACTAAATGACATACCTTGTTTTAAATGCTTTACGTGTAAAATTTATTTAATTCTTGCCGTAATTCTATGAAGTAGGTTGTGTTACTGTCTGAGCAGACAGGCACAGACTACAGAGTTGTAAAGTGACATAGTTGGGTTTGAAGCCAGGCAGCATAATTCTTAAGCTTGTATTCTTAAGCACATTTTTATACTGCCACCATAATAAAATAAATAGCACACACACTTTTTTTATTGTAAAATATACAACATGAAATTTACCATTTCAATCATTTTTAAGTGCACATTTCAGTGGTGTTAAGTACATTCACAAAGTTGTGCAAACCATCATCACTATCTTCAGAACTTTTTCATCATTCCAAACTGAAATTACTCATTAAATAATAACTCTGCACTGCCTCCCCCTCTAGCTCCTGGTAATCACTTTTCTACTTCCCGTTTTTATGAATTTGACTATTCTAGACTTCATATAAGTAGAATCGTGCAATATTTGTTCTTTGGTATTTGGCTTATTTCACTTAGCATAATGTCTTCAAAGTTCATCCATGTTGTAGCATGAATCAGAATTTCATTCCTTTTTTAAGGCTGAATATTATTTTATTGTGTGTATAAACCACAATTTATCTGTAGATGTTTGCTGCTCTGAACATTGTCCTACACATACCTGTTTGAGTCCCTGCATTCAGTTCTTTTGGGTATATACCCCGAAGTGGAATTGCTGGATCATACGGTAATTCTATTTGATTTTTGAGGAACTGCCGTACCGTTTTCCACAGCAGATGCAGCATTTAACACTCCAGTAGCAATGCACAAGCGTTCCAGTTTCTCCACATCTTCAGCAACACCTTTATTTTCTGGGTTTTATTTTATTTTATAATAGCCATCCTAATGAGTATACAGTGGCATCTCATTGTGGTTTTGATTTGCAGTTTTCTAATGATTAGTGATATTGAGCATTTTTTTCAAGTGCCTATTGACCATTTGGTTTTGTTGTTGTTTTGGTAGAAATGTCTATCCAAGTCCTTTGCCCGTTTTTAAAATTGGGTTGTTTGTTTTTGTTGTTGAGTTGTAGGAATTCCTTATATGTTCTGGATATTAAGTTCATATCAGATCCATGATATATAAATACTGTCTCCCATTTCCATGGGTTGCCTTTTTATTCTGTTGATGGTATCTTTTGATGTACAGAAATTTTTCATTTTAATGAAGTCCACTGTATTTTTTCTTTTGCTGCTTATGCTTTTGGTGCCATGTCCAAGAAATCATTGGCAAATCCAGTGTCATTAAGCTTTTCCCCTATGGTTTTTTTTCTAGAGTTTTATATATAGTTTAATCTCTTATATTTAGGTCTTTAACCCATTTTGAGTTAATATTATGTATGGTGTTAAGTAAGGGTCCAGCTTCATCCTCTCACATGTGCGTATTCAGTTAGTCAGCACCATTTGCTGAAAGGACTGTTCTTTCTCCAGTGAATGGTCTTGGCACCCTCATGTACATATATAAAAAATTTTAATTCAGAAGCATTTGGCATTGACGGGTATCTGTGTTGGTGTGCAGTGTCCTTGCATTCGCTAGCAGGTTAAAATGCAAATCTTCATGAAGATCTTGACTGGCAGGACCATCGCCCTGGAGATGGAGCCTAGTGACGTCATCGAAAATGTGAAGGCCAAGATCCAGCATAGGAGGGCATTACCCTCTGCCATACACAACAGCAAACGCTCATCTTTGGAGGCAAACAGCTGGAAGATGGCCGCTGCACTCTCCGATTTCAGTATCCAGAAAGAGTCAACCCTGCACCTGGTCCTGCATCTGAGGGGTGGTATGCAGATCTTTGTGAAGACTCTGACCGGCAAGACTATCACTCTGGAGGTGGAATCCAGTAACACCATCAAGAATGTGAAGGCTAAGATCCAAGATAAAGAAGGCAATCCCCTCTGACCAGCAGAGGCTCATCTTTGCAGGCAAGCAGCTGGAAGATGGCCTCACTTTTCTCATTACAACATCCAGAAAGGGTCAACTCTGCACCTGGTTCTCCGTCTGAGGGGTGGCTGATGATTCTTTAGT